TGATATGTATTAGACTAAAAATTTAAACTAAAGCTTTTTATCGCTTTTAGTTTATAAGAGCTATGGGATTTGAACCCATATTACAATGATTAAAAGTCACATACTTTACGGTTAAGCTCTTTTTTTTTTCTTATAAATATAATACCTAATCTCACTAAAGACTCGAACTTTAATCAAAATGTTAGGACCATTCCGTTTTACCATTAAACCAGCGAGACTTTTCTCTGTAGAAGCGTGATGTTTAAGAGATATCACATAACAATACAACTTAAGAGTCTATTTGGTTAGCACTATGTAATCTCAAAGAGTTAAGATAGTACATCACCAATTATAACTGGTTTTACTGATAATATTGACATCACTTCAACATTTTCTAATCATATTAATGATCCAAAGAATGAACATACTCAATAATTGACTCTATAACGCAACTTACACAACTGTAAAGAGAATTATCTGGTAATTCGTTTTGCATTAAACTAAAATTTCGTAATCCAAGGTACAGACTTTGGTTATAGAGATTATAACACATGAATACTTTATTACAAACATAAAATATCATCTTTATTATAATTATATAATGCGAATTCAAACATTTTTAATTCTCTCGTAGTCATAATAAAAATTTTTCAAGCGATATTGATTCTATTACAATAGGCATAGAACTGTGTAGGATACCACATAGTTCAGAACATTGTCCAAAGAAGATTCCTTCTCTATTTATAAGGACAGAAAATTGATTAAGTCTTCCAGGATAAGCATCACACTTTATACCTAAGGCAGGACAAGCGTAAGAATGTATGACGTCCCCAGAGGATATAATAAATCTTACGTGAGTTAACTCCGGTAAAATTACCCTATTGTCCACTTCCAACATTCTTAATGCACCAGTCTCAAGATCTGAATCTGGCACTAGATATGAATCAAATTCCAATTCTTCATTATCATCATTAACAAAATCCGGGTATTGGTAACTTCAGTATCATTGATGCCCTTCTACAAACATTGTTAATGAT